TAAGAACAGAACCTAATTTCCAGGGGCATCAAAAACATTAAAATACTTAGGAATAAGTTGAACCAGTAAAGTAAAAGACCTGCACTCTGGAAACTGTAAGACACGGAGAAGCATACAGACAGATGGAAAGCTATCCCAGGTTGTTGCGGTGGAAGAATTAATATTGTTGAAATGGCCATGCAACCCAAGGTAATTAGCAAATCCAACACAATCTCTATCAAACTTCCAATGGCATTTCTTATAGAAATAGAAACAACCCTAGAATTCAGATGTGATCACAAAAGACCCCAAATAGCCAAAGCACTGTTGAGAAAGAATGGAGTTGGAGGTTTTACACACCTGATTTCAAACTATATTACAAAGCTGTAGTTATCAGAACAGTGTGGTTCTGACATAAAAATAGGCACATAGACCAATGGAACAGTATCAGGAAGCCGGAAGTGAACCCGCACACGTTTGATCAACTATTTTTGACAAAGTTGCCAAGAACCCATAATGGGGATGGATAATCTCTCCAACAGCAGTGCTGGGAAGATGGGCAATGATGAAGCTACACTTGTCTCTTTACCACTCAGAAAAATTAACTTGAGCTGGAATCAAAGACTTAAAATGTAAGACCTGGGCCCCTAAAAGGGTCTGAAGAAAACAGTGGAAAATCTCCTTGGTGTTGGTCTTTGCAACGATTTCCTGGATACGACACCAAAAGCAAACATCAACAAATAGGACTGTACGAACCTCAAAAGCTTCTGTACAGCCAAAGAAATCATTAGCAAAATGGGAAGGCATCCTACAGAATGGGAGAAGATATTTGCAAATCTTATGTCTGATGAGGGATTAGTATCCAAAATAAATGAAGAACATCTACAACTCAATAGTAGAGAACTAAATAATGGGATTAGGAAATGGGCAAAGGAACTGAATGTCACTTTCCCCAGGAAGACATCCAGTTGCCCAACAGGTACATGAAGAGATGCTAAACATTACTTTTCATCAGGGAAACGCAGATGACTACGAGTTATCATCTCATGCCTGTTAGAATGACTGTCATGAAAAAGATAAGAGATAACAGGTATCGCTGAGGTTGTGGAGAAAGGGAATGCTGTGCACTGTTGTTGGGAATGTGGACTGGTGCAGCCACCATAGAAAACAGTATGGAGGGTCCTCAAACCTTTAAACCTAGAATTTCATGTGATCTGGTGATTCTACTTCTGCATATGTATTCGAAGGAAAGGAAATCATTAGCAAAATCTGTCCTCTCTTTCTCATGTTGTTCACAATAGCCAAGATGTAGAAGCAATCTGAGTGTCCATTGATGGATGAACGGATAAAGAAAATGTGGCATATAAATGATGAAAAATTATTCTGCCATGTAAGAGGGAAACCCCGGAGTCTGTGATAGTTTGGATGAACCTGGAGGACACTACTAAGTGAAATAGGTCAGAAAAAGACAAACGCTTTATGGTATCATGTATATGCAAAATCTTAAAAACAAAAACAAAACCCAAAAATACCTCAAATTCAAGAGCAACAGAGGAGAATGGTGGTTTTCAGGGTTAAGTGTTGGGGAAACGGGAAGTTGCTGGTCTGGGGGCACGAACTTTCAGTTGCAAGATAGGTTAGGGATCTACTGTGCAGCGTGATGACTGTGGTGAACGGTACTTCTCTGGATTCTCGACGTTTGCTACGAGAATAGATCTTAGGCATTTCCTCTCTCTCCTTCACACACCCAGGTAGTGATGGATGTGATAATTAACGTGATTGTGGCAAATATTTAACAATGTAGACATGTATCAAATCATCATGTTGTACACCTTAAATATATACAATTTTGTCAATTACAACTCAGGAAAACTGGAAGGAAACGACAGGGCACGAGCGCCCGTGCTGGGGAGAAGCAGGCAGTCGGAGTAAACGTGTACACCGTGTCCCTTTGGGCTTGTGCAACTTTGGGGATGAACTTTGTTGGGGGAAGTTCTGGTGCTTTCCATGGGCTCCCTTCTCCCTGGGGACTGTATCACATGGTGTGGCTGTCAGAGAGGGAGGGCCCCTGCCCGTGTGCACCTGATTCTGAAGGCAGACCCAGGGCGGGTAAGATCTGAGGTGTCATGGAAGGACGCCAGGCTCCAGTCAGTAGACATGCAGAAGGTCTGTGGCTCTTTCTCTGCATGCAGGGAAAATCCAGCCAGCCTGCGTGATGGAAGGTGTTGCCATGGGACAGCTGGCACATGGTGGGCCCTCTGCCTGTGTCTGCTGCCATCCTACGTTCCTGCCACTCTTACAGGAGCCTGGTGCTTCCCAGCAAAGGACACCGTCCTGGACGAGCTTGGTCTGGTGGGGGGAGAAGGACACAGAGATGATTTATGAAGTGAGGGGCAGTGGGATAAAGGCTGGGGAGGAAGGCCGGGGGCTTCAGGAACACAATAGCCCAGCCTAAGAGGAGTGAAGGAGGGCTTCCTGGTGGAGAAAGTGGCTGTCTCCTTTCGTCTTGGAGAGAGAAACAAGTCAGCTTAACACAGAAGGGTGTGTGGGAAGTTCTAGGCAGAGACAGTGGAGCAGAGCCAAGGAGGTGCATGGAGATAGTGTGAGTGAGGCTCTGGGTCAAGGGGATGGGAGGATGGGGCAGGGCTACTGGTGACGGCATGGGGAATCCGTGTTGGGGAGCTTGATTTTGTCTGTAGGCGAGAGGCCTGGATTCTGCCCACTTCAAGCATTTCTAAGTGTTGGAAAGGCCATGTGTGGCTGGGTGGGGAGCTGGGTGGAGATGGACCATAGCTGGGTTTCACTTGATGGGGTGGTTACAGGACCCCAAGCAGTAGCACCCGGGAAAGCATCGTGCACACGGCCAGGCACAACCCCCAGAGGTTGTCCACCAGATCGCCGCTATTCTGAGGAAAACCCCAGGGGCCGTCCATAAAACTTTAGGGATTGCCAACTACCTCCTGGAAACAGTGGGTTCACCCTAGTGCCTGGCTGGTTTACACGAGGTCACTGTGATTAGTTAAACTTTGTGAAAGTAATGGCTTCGCCCTACGCTGGCCGTGGGCTCTCTTATGGCTGAGCTGGCCGTCCACCATGGGTGTGTCACACCACTTGTCACCTTGCCACTGACCAGAGCCCTTTCTGGCCCATCATAGTATCTCCTGCTGCAGATGCTGGTGCCCTGCCTGGCGGCGGCACTCACCACCTCTCCCTGCTTCTGTGGGACAGGCATCCGGGAGTCACGTGGCTGGGCAGTGCAGCTCAGGGACTCTTGAGAGGCTGCAGCATCTGAAGGCACGACTGGGGCCAGAGCACCCCTCCCCAGCTGGCCGCACGCTGGTGCTCCCCATGGGGGCCTCTCCAGAGGCTGCTCCGGCACCTGGCTGTCCTCAGCAGGACTGGCTTGAGACTCGGGGTGGAGTCTGTAAGCCCTGTGTTCTGCCTCATCCGTCGACCAGCCGCGAGCCACCGTGGGAGGGACTGGTCCACGGGTCACTCAGGCCATCTTGGGGTCTGACGGCCGTGAGAGTCGCGCCCCCGTCCCAGGCTGCCAGTAGACTGGCCGCCTGCCTGACTCAGCATGTGGGCTGAGCATCCTTTGGGGCCAGGGAAATTACTTGCCTGCATTTCTGCTAATTCCCACTTACCTGGAGGCCAGGGGCCTCTGATGATGTCCTCGCTCCCTTGGGATCTCGCGCTGGCCTCCAGACCCGGCTGTGCTTCTGTCTACGTTTCTAGGCTGGCGTGGAAGCCCTTTTTATTCAAGGCAAGTCTGTTTAGATTAGAAAATCACTCATCGCCTTTGTGCAGTGCACCCATTTGGAGACGCAGAGTAAACCTTTGTCTTTGTGCATAATCGCCCAGACCTCGGAGGTAGAGAAAGACCATTGGGAAAATAGATCTCGCAAAGATAGCGCTGCTGCCTGTTCTCTGCCAGAGTTCCCGTGACCGCCAGCCAGCGACCAGGTTACTTGCCTGCTTTATCCTTCTTCAGTCCTGCAGGACCTTTAGGAGTTCAGTGTTCCCATCCCCAGCTCTAGGAAGGAAAAAGATGGTGTGTGTGTTGGGGGGTGGGGGGTAACCTCTGGGCTTCCAAGTGCTGAGCCATATTTGGGGCACGGCTCCTGCCCCCACCGAGGCCTTGTTCTTCAAGGACCCTGCTTGTGTATGCTGGTATCATGTTTGTTGTCTCAGACCAGGGTCCCTCGATGGCATCACAGTCGTGCTGGGAGAGGAAGCTGAGGTCCAGAGAGGTCACTGGTCCTGCCCTGGGCTGCATGGCTGTGGAGGGCTGTGAAGGCCCCACCCCCCCCACGCCCAGCCCAGGTTCCCTCCCCCATGCCCCAGCTGTACCCCGCCTTCTCTATGCTGGCATCTGGCGGTGGCCGGGGCAGGCCCGCAGGCCCGACCCGCATCGTGGGGGCCTAGGGGGTGCTCCCTGGCAGGCAGCCCAGCCGCAGCCTCCCGAGGGCGGGTCTGTGAAATCCCCATTGGTTCTGGCTCTAAGTCTGCTCTGTCTGGGCCTCTGACCGGACACATGTCTCTGCGCTTGCACAATGGCCTGGGTGCAGGGACTCCTCTGTGGGAATTTAGACGTGGATTTATTCTGACAGTCCGTTCCCAGGCCGTCCGGAAGCACGGGGCGTGTGGCGCTGAATGGGCAGCTTGGGTCTGGTTGAAAGGCACCAGTCCTGAGGCCGGGGGGTGGGGAAGGGGAGGTTTCCCGTCCCTCTTTGGGGAGAAGCTGTGATTCGCAGGCTGACATGGAGGCTCCGCACGGCTCTCCTCCGGGTCCCAGGAGAGCCCGTGGTTGTGGTGTGGTGTCTTCCCGGCGCTGCCAACCGCGGGGGCCGGCCGGGGCCTTGCCCGCCGGGTGCACCCCGCACGCCGCTGAAGCCGGCCCCGTGTGGTGAGGGCACACCTCCCTCTGCCCCGGTCTTCGAGGGCGGGCGGTTTGCAGGTGGGAGGCGTGTTGCTGCTGAGGCTGCTGAACGCACACCCCTTCTTTCTCTCTCTTCCAGCCTGCGAGTGCTGCTGCCACAAGCCATGTGAAGCCAAGGTAAGCTGCTGCTTCCCGAGGGCCGTGCCCCGCAGTGGCCTCTGCCGCCTTGGCCAGCGGCTACGGGCGCAGAACGTGCGAGAAGGGGGCTGCCAGACGCCTGGGCAGGACGCATATGTGTCATCTCGGGAGGGAGCTGTAGCACTGTGGTTCTGTGCTCCTAACTGTGGAAGGGGACGCTAAGAATCTGGTTTCACATAAGAATTTGGTGATTGGCCCTCCCCTCGCCCCCCAGCAGATGCCCCTTCTCTCTCATGATTGCACCGTGGCACTGGGGTGGAGTAGGCACAGGGCTTGGGGCGTGTACCTGGACTTGAGGATTTGGGGGCTTCTTTAGGGCAGTTTTCTTGGGTTGGTGAGATGGTCAGGCTGTCGGGGAAGTCGAGGCCTGACTTGGGGAAGGTTGCCCTGGTTTTCGAGTTCCTTGGAGGGGCTGCATTGCTGAGGGCCCCCTGAAGCGCTGTAGGCCTGGCCTGCTTGGTCGGGTTAGGGCTTGGACTAGTGGAGCAGTGAGGAGGCCTGGAGCTGGCGGGTGGACAGCTGTGGGCACCCTGGGACGGAGGCCTGGGATTCTGCCCGGGTCGCACATCTGCACCTCCCACATTTTCCAGGAGCACATGCATCGTCCCCTCTGACTGGCCGGTCCTGCCTCGGTGGGAGCCTCTCACATATCCCGCAGGCCGCCCCGGGGCTGGAGGCCCAGGGAGATGGGGTTTTAGAGAGTGTGTGCAGAAGTGTGCGCTGGAAGCTTGCTTGGTTCGCTGTGGGCTGGCTCCTCGCGATGAGTTCTGTGTGGGGGAGGATCCCGAATCCCTTCTCCCTCCCTGCCACACGCGTGCACGCACACACACACACGCGTGTGCACGCACGGTTCACACCCATGCAGGAACATAAGCAAGCATATGCACTCACACGTGACAATCCACGCGTGTGCAGGAGCACACACAGTTCACACCCACGTGGAGCACACACGTATGCACACACGCTCACACACGCACAGTTCACACCCACGTGGAGCACATGCACACATAATTCACACCCACGTGGAGCACACGCACACGCACAGCACACACCCATGTCGGAGCACGCGCACCGACACAAGCACGCGCACACACAGTCCACAGCACGTGGGCACGCATGTATGCGCGCACTCAGGTCACACACCACATTCGCGCAGACATCTGTTTGCTCATGCACACGCGCGCACAGTCGGCAAGAACTCCGGGCTACTCTGGCCCTTTGTGTGTTTTCAAGAAAGAGATTAAATACCTTTTCCTTTTAATCTTTCCACGATGGGGGATTTGGAGCGCAGAAGTGGAGAGCGTGGTACAGAGCCCTGCGCTGCACCGTCCCCACCCTGCGGCCAGCAGCACCCCTGCCGTGCCTTCCGAAGCCGCGATTCCCCGCTCTGAGATGTCGCGGATGTGGGTGCGAGCGGTTTTAGGAACAGGCACCCGTGGTGGGGCCTCGGGGCCCATCTGCTTCCCTTCTGGTCTCGCTCTGGAGGGGCCCCTTTCTGGCCGAGGCCAGGTGTTCCTTGCTGGGGCACACACCGGGGTGCTCGTTTCCAGTCTTGGCTTTGTCTGCAAATGCGCTGCTCTCCCGTGTGTGTTGTGTGCTTCTGAGTGACGTGTCAGAGCACACGCATTGTCTGGGTTTCCCGGAGGCCCCTGCCCGCACGCTGGGAGGGTTGAGATGTGCCGGGCTGTATGGCCAGCCCGGCCACTGCTGGTTGGCAGTGGAGAACTGAGCAGCCCCTCCCCCGCTGTCGGCACCACGTCTTGAAGGCGGCCCAGGGCTGGCTCCTTGGAGGATTGAATTCTTTGGCTCCAAGAATATTCCAGAAGTCTTAGCTATCACCGATGATGGCGTTTCTGGCCACAGTAATTGGCATTTTGCTAAGAGGTAGATAAGCGTTTTCTCTCAGTGGATCGGGGCTGGGGGAAATGTATCCGCATTCATTTTTCTCGATAGCCCAGCTTTGAGTGGCGGGAGGGAATGCCACCAGCAATAACAAAGCCCCTTCTGATTCCAGAACCGTAGCACTGTCACCACGGGGCGCAGAGCGGCCATACGTTCTCAGACGCCGCTGGAGATAAGCGGGGCCGCTCCGTCTGCCAGGAGCTGAGACGCGGCTCTCGCCGACAGCGTGGGTCCTTGCTCAGCGCGAGTGCGTGTCACACGGGCTCCCTGGGTTTCCGGCAGACGATCTCCATGCTTCGGTTTAGAGCACAGGCTTTAGCCTAACGTCCGACCCGGCCCGACCGCTTACTGGCTTGGGGAAGGCACGAGCTGTGGATTCCTTCTGTGACGTCTGCAGCCTTGGTGGGGACGCGGAAGGAGTGACAGAGGCTGAGTGTGTGAGTGAGCAGTGAAGCCTGCTGTACCGGCTTCACCAAGGACAGAGCCGTCCTGCAGAGCTGGGGCCGAGCCGGGGGCTGGAGGCTGGGGGCTGGGGGCTCAGGCAGGGAAGCCGAGGCAGAGCGGGGACCTTGACTGCTGCCACTATGGACTGAGGTCACAGTCTTCCTGGCCGACGGGCAGTATGGCCCCTCTGGCGAGCTCTTGGGCCCAGAGGGCACAGAAAGGCAGAGACGTGGGCTGTGATCCCGTGTCCCAGTGGGGGCTTCTTGTCCGCTGGGACAAGCCCCCTGGGGCTGTGGTTTCTCTCTGTGCGCAATGGGTGAGCGATCGGCCCACAGTCTGACGTGAAGACAGCTTGCTCTTAGCTGTTAATTATGGTAATCTTGATTATTTAGGATTTAGGGAAGGCAAATAATTTAGGTTTAATGGCTGGGGAGTACTGGGGTTGCAAATACTTTGCTCGGTGGGAGGCTGTGCTGTTTTCTGGAGCCTTGTGAGCTGCCTGGGCAGTGTGAGCTGTTTTTTTCTGGCTGCTGGCTAACTCACAGGCATGAGGCATGGGAAGGAGGAGAAAGCCATTGTCGGGAGTCTGGTGATGGGGTCCAGGTGGGACCCCCCAAGTATGGCAGAGGTGGGGTCCCGGTGGGCTTTGGCAAGTGGGTGGGAGCTCTGCGGAAGTGGGAATCCACGCTGTCTGCCCCACAGCCAGGGCACGCGTCCCTTCCCCATCCGCCCAGACCACACACTGCCCTTACGGGAGCCATCGGTCAGGAACACAGGGTATGCCGACCACCACACAGAACGTGCTGTTCTGTTGTTTTGCAAACGTAAGGCCCCGCATTGGGATAGCGCAGTGAGTTGGTGGGGCTGGAGCCCATGCGTGGTTGTAGGGAGCAGTCATCTCGTGGAGGGTCCCCACGCTGGGCTCACGTGAGCCCCCTGCCATGTGTCTCCAAAGCCAGGGCTCTGTCCTTAGGCCCCTTTGTCCCTTGCATAATATAGATGTCCAGCTGGCTTCTTCTCTTTTCTGGATGTGCTTTGATGGGACCCCAGGGCTGGCCCCCTTGGTGAGGTGGGAGCCCCCTTTGGGAGAGGAGGGAGCCCTGGGCAGCTTCAGAGACCTCTGTGCCTTGTCCCCATGTAGCTGTCATGTGGTGGCCAAGCTGGGAGGCTTCCAGCCTCTCAACAGAAGCCGCGAGCTGTGACCGGCTCACTGTTCCTCTCTCTGAAGGTTGAGGCATGGCCCTCCCCAACCGCCCTCCCTCCAGAGCCTCCCACGTCTGGAACCCAGGCAGTGGCAGCCCCCTCCTGCCACTGTCTCTGCTGGCCTCACGCACCGGTGGCCCCTGAGTTCTGATTGTGGTTTAGGAGCCGCAGTGACCTGCCGAAGACCGTGTTTGCTAGGTGGCCCCTCTGCCACGAGGCCCCGAGCCTGCGGGGTCCTCAGAAACCACCACGGATGTGGGTCCAGGGTACAGCCGGTGCCACTGGCATAAGTGAGGAGTTTTAGCCAGGAGCTTCGTCTGCCAGTCCCCTGGATCTCCAGACAGCTGTCTTCTCTGGTGTGCCCCAGGTGTGGTTCGTCGGCCCCTCCCCGCTTCCATCCAGTGGAGAGGGGCTGCTGTCACACAGCCCCCGCATCCCGGCGGTCAGAGCATCGGGTTTCAGAATCCTCAGCTCTGTGTGCTTCATGCTCTGTGCTGGCCCGTGTGCCTGGCACCCCTGTTCTGAAGCCTCCAGACCCCCCAGCTCGTGCCCTCCTGTTCTTCTCTGGCCGGAGCCCATGGCCCACCCCTTCAGTGTCTGGGTCTGCACCAGGAAGGATGCGCGAGGGCCTGGGACCCGCCAGCCCCTCCTGGGTCCTTTGTCCTCCGAGTGACCCGCAGCTTCTTGGCATCACTCAGGCTTCTCAGAACTCCTTGGGAGATGCCGGCAGAGCTGGGGGCGCATCTCCGGAACTTGGCGGGTAGTGAGGCTCTGGGCCTTGGGGGACGACTTGGTTTGTGATGGATGCCAGCATCGCGGGCACGAGCCTGTGGTGAGGCTCCTGCTCCTGCCTCGGTCACCGGTTTTGCTCACAAGCCCCAGCTCAGACTGCCGTCAGCTCCGTGGGAGCCTGTTTCTTGGTTTTAATTCATCACAAAAGTACGGGAATCCGTGCATGGTGCGGTGTGGTGACTTACACTTGTGCCTTCTGGAAGGTTCCTCTGAGAACGTTCTTTCCCACCGTGTCACATTTGGTCTGTGCTGTCTTATGATCCTTTGTAGACACTGCCTGGTGGAGGCCCGTGTGACAGCTTTGCCCCTGCCCTTTGTCCCTTGTGTCTGCGGGACATGGTGGGAGGAATGGTAGTACTCGTGGTTTGACGTATTTTTAGCAAATTAATTCCAGGGTGTTCCTGGACTCCCCTAGTGTGAAGGGGACCTTCCGTGGAGGGGATCCCACACGGTTCCTTGGGTCGCCCATGCACCTGAGCCCGAGCTGGGGACATGTGGGTCCATCCAAGCAGTCCGGCTCGCAGGGGTGTGCAGGTGCCCAGTGCAGGGTGGGAGACGGGACATCGAGGTCAGGCTGCCCTGGGGCCGGGTTTGAATGTGGACAAAACTGAGAAGGAGCACCTGGTGTGTCATTTTTC